ATACGCCACATGTCCTTTCTACATTGCTAACCTGCCACGTGTCATTTTCTGAATATAATCCTAAAACATAATTAAAAATCAAATTAAATAATGTAAAAAAAAATCCGGAATTTTTTTCAACTTACTGTATTTTTCGGATTCATATAACTTTCAAATTCAAATTCCATGTTTTTTTGGAAACAATAGCAATTTACGTTCAATTTGTTTGACTACAAATTTTATCTTTTTTTTTTTTTAACTCTTTTCAAGATTTAAATGAATACCAAAAAATCAGCAATTTGAAAATAATATTCTCACTCCATTTATATTAATGTGTTTTTTAGTCTTCAACATCCATTCCCATTATCAATTTTTATTCTTTTCTCATCTTCAATATTACAATTTCGACATAGTCTCGACATAACAAATCTTGTTAGTTCATCTTCATAACCTAATATTTACAACTTTTTTCTGAAAATATATTAATACCAATGCAGTTTCTGTTTGCTAAAAACATCTATTGTGAAATCATCATTCCTTATTTCTGTTTTGATGTTCTTTGAAGTGTAACCGATCATTATCAAGTTCTTCAAATCGTTTAATATGCCACATTTCATTTTCTATATGTTTGTTTTAATGTTCTTTGAAGTGTAACTGATCATCATCAAGTTCTTAAAATTCATTCATTATAAAGTCGGAATATGATGAGGTTATAAAAAATTAAATATAACATAAATTTTTTGCATTTATATTTATGCTTCATGTTCCGGTATTTCTTTATTCTAATGAAAAACTATTGGCGTGTAAAAGTTATTCACATCTAAAGTCATGGTAAACTAAAACGAAATCTTCGTTTTTGTAATTTACCAATTAAGATATTTTCATTGTAGCATTTTTATTACAACACATATCGATTTGAAGTTAATTTTTTTAATATGTATGGCAATAATGCATCCTAACCCTAACAAAGAACTGCGTTTCTAAAAAAATTACCATTATACCCTTTTATATTTCTATTTTCCCACTATAAAAGTATAGTGCCTTTATTGTCCATTGCTAGCAGGTATATCTTCAACATTACCAAAGATAACAATGTACATTATATTGTTGACCGGTAAGTTGTATTTTCTTAATTTTTATTGCCTATTCGTAACACTTTTTTAATATGTATGGCAATAATGCATCCTAACCCTAACAAAGAACTGCTTTTCTAAAAAAATTACCATTATACCCTTTGATTACAAATAACATTTATAATTTTTGTGTTTTTACCATAAAAGTTATCAACTTTGTTTATTTGTTTGTATTGCTTAATAGTATTGTGCATGGTTCTTATAATAAGTCTGTCCAATTTGTAAGGTTGATAGTTGGATCTCTCATTAATGCCATTTTACAATCTAATTATTATTAAAATTTTGAATTCTAAAGAGTTTAGAAGTTCGTATCATTAACCTTATTGACCTTCTTATCAGTTGGAAAATCTATTCAATAGTTGGCTCTTAGTTTTTATCTATCTACATAGTTTGAATTTTGCTGTTTATCTTTATATATCAAGTGACTTATTATAGATTATTTATGCTATTTTAAATAAGGGCTCTTTTGGTAGATTTTAAAAAACATGTACCAATTTTGTAATTTATGAAAGTACAATGTTAAAAATGGGAGTAGATATTTTTGTGAATGTGTAACAGGTCTGATGCATTTTTTTTAACTTTTAAGAAACTTTATTGAAACAATTCCAACTTTTCTAATTTTTTTTTGCAGAAATATGGCTATTTCAAAGATAACATTCATAAAAGACATTGACCCAGTCAATTCGGATTTCACAATCAAAATAAAAGTATTGAAGTTATGGACACTCAATTCTAAATTTGATTCTAACGAAAAGTACTCCATTGAAATGATTTTCTTGGATGAACAGGTATATACTTTTTATTTTAACATTTGGTAATTGTGTATGCTAATTATAATTTTTGTACAAAAATAAATGAATTTTATCATTCACTTTTTTAAATATACCCTTTGTTGACAAATTGCTAATGTTGTGTTGTATATTTTTTAGGGATCTCTAATTCAAGCTAATGTTTTCCAAAACTTATTTTATAAGTTTGAAAAAAGTATTCGTGAGGGATCCGTTTATGAAATTATCACCCTATTTGCAAAACACAATCCACATCCGAATTCTACCATCGTTTTTGATATTCCTAATAAAATTACCTTTGTAAGAGAAATAGAACTTAAGGATTCTCTTGATTTTCCGGGAAATGTTTTCGGATTATATTTTGTGGACTTTCAGAAAATTAACTTCAAACTTATCCCAACCCGAAGATCTGTTGGTACGTTTTCATTTATTTAATAAATACTGTTTTTTTAATAGTTTACCTTACATTATTTATTAATTTTAATATTGCTACAAAATGAATTTCGTAGATGTTATTGGCATGGTTGTCTCGCGTACTATTATTATCCCCGCTCAGAAAAAAGACAAGCAGAGAATCCATCTTGAGCTCAAAGACTTGGAGTTAGAAAATTTTCATTTTGAATATTAGTTAGACAAAATTGCAAAAATGGTCCCTGTGGTATGCATTTTTTTGGGGTTTTAGTCCAAACCACGACTTTTTTGGATTGGTGGTCCTTTTGAGCTAGTTTCATTGCGTTTTTGGTCCCTCTAAATAGTGAAGTGACTGTAATACCCTTGGGGTATTTATTTTTCATTTTTCTTTCATTTCTTTTTAAATCTAATACTAATTTATTTATTTTAATAAATAAAAAAGTAAAAAGGGTCTCTCTCTCTTCTCTCTCTCTCTCTCTCTTTCATCACCTTCGTCTCACCCTCCCCCACAATTCACCTCACTAACAGATAATGCTTCGTGTCTTCTCCCCCAAAACCCACTCTGATTCTTGATGTCAACAAAAATTCTGCCATTCTTCAATGATGAAATCAAATTGCGAAGAATCTGATTAAACCTCTCCACCTATGTCGTTAATTTGTGGGCATATTTTAATTGCAGGAGCAAGTGAGGAGAATGCTACGCCTGTTGGAGAAGGAGGAGAAAAAGGTTAAGGAGCTCCGACAAGCTCCTCCTTGGTCATTTGTTCGTCATCAACGGTCCAATCAAGGGGAAAAAGAACAGAATGACAACAAATAGCGAGAGGGTGACTGCAATCGGTGGAAGAAGGAAGAGCGGTCGGTTCTTCCGGCGAGCTCCTTCTCTCGGTACTCCAACCTTCGACGGTGCAACTGTCGTACGGGGTGATTGCGGTGGTGTTTAATCAATTGTGAGCAGGGCTTAGCCGGTAGAAGATTATTGCCATTTTTCGGCGACCCTTGTGGGTCCTTTTCTCTTCTCCGATAGTCACAAACGCAGGGAAACAGAGCAGCAGTAGGTGCGCCGGACAGGAGGTGTTTGGCAGCTGGAGTTGATGAAATAGAAGGGAAGGGGAGGAGGGCTGCCATCGCCGGTGAAGGTCACCGGTTTTTCTTCTTCTTTGGCCAGAGGTTAAGAGAGAGTGAGAGAGAGAGAGAGAGAGGGAGATGGGCCCTCTCAATTTTTAATAATTAAAATGAATATATAATTATTAAATTTTAAAAAAATGAATTTAAAAATAGAAAATAAATATCCAAGGGTATTAAAGTCATTTCAGTTTACCGAGGGACAAAAAACGCAATGAAACTAGCTCAAAAGGACCATCAATCCAAAAAAGTCATGGTTTGGACTAGAACCCCAAAAAAATGCATACCACAGGGACCATTTTTGCAATTTTGTCTATTAGTTATTTATTCTAAATTTTTTTCACCTAATTTATACTTTTGTGTTTTTTTTAGTGGTACATGGTCCAAGCCCGGTACGAGGATGACTTGTGCCTAGGGGTGCAATGAATTCTTTCCCGGTATGTCGCTCAATAGCTAAATAAAGAGAAAGCAAACCACCCGAAGAGGAATGAAAGCTTCAAATCGAGTTCTCTCTAGTAAAGAAGTGGCGTTCATTCAATCAAAGCTTTTATGCCCTAGCACTAATGACTCTATTTGGAAGAAAGGAATGCAGGGAACAAGTCTTTTCCTTTCCACTGGTTCTTGAAAGCTCTCAATCCCCTCCCGCTTCTCCATATTGATTCTCCCTCTCGCATCGGTTCTGTTCTGCATCATATAATGAGCCCATGCGCTGTCTTAAGGTCTATTTGTGGGGTGGTTTTGCCAACAAAGTTTCTGATTATCTTGACAATCATAAAACTGATGATTGTGTCATTATAATTCTACAGTTTGCAAAAATAAATGATTATAGAGGTTTGCCACTCAATATTGTCAATTATTTATTCTTATAATTTATCTTTACAACAATTATTATGTTATATAGGTAATATCAGTGTTTCAATGTTGTCTTTAACACCTTCAGACAACAAAATTCCATACAAGTTCAAAAGAGACAATTTCCCCTAGCGGTTTGTTTTTGTTGTGACCATAAATAAAGTCAGGGCCAATCTTTGAAAATGGTTGGGTTGTTTTGCGAGAACCGGTTTTCTCACACGGTCAGTTATATGTTGTTTTATCCGGAGTAAAGAGCAGAGAATGATTGAAGTTATTGATTTTAGATAATGATGATAATTTGACTAATAAAACTTCCAATGTTGTGCTCAAGAAAGTATTTTTAAAAACATATGTTAAACTCTTATGTTTGTTTTACTTATCAAATAAAGTTGTACTTACTTACCATCTAGAATCAAATGCTTTTTTATAGTTATTAATTTTTTTATTGTATAATTTTTTTATAACTTACCTCTCATGGTTTTCACATGCTATAACCTAGTTTAAAATATAATATTTTAAGTTAAATGAGTTTTTTTTTTTTTTTTTTTTTTTTTTTTTAAAACGACGGAGTTTTTTTTTTTTTTAAAAATATAATATTTTGTCTTTTGTCGAACCCAATAGAAAACTTAGAGGCAGGAATGCCAATTACGTATATGATTTGTTATAAATATAATTCAGTGTTTTTTTTAGTTATTGTTACAACATTCCAATAACCATGTCCGACCTTTTCCACTCTCTTTCACTGTCTCTCCTCCTCTTACCCTTCTTCTTCATTTCCATGGCTGCTCAGTTCAATTATTCAACTTACCCCAGCTGCCCTTCATACAACTGCGGGAACATCAATATCAGCTACCCTTTTTGGAGGATCGGCAGTGAAACCTCCACCCAGTTCTGCGGTTACCCTGGTTTTGGAATCAATTGCTCTAACGACGGTGATCAACGGGATATTCCAACTATTAATTTGGGAAACGATTCTTACTATATCCAAAATATATTCTACGGATCAAATACTGGAATTCCCTTATATAATCTACGAACCAAAGACTATTGTCCTTGTAGACTAAGACGTTTCTGCCACCGTCCCGATCGTCGACTGCCCCAGGGTGCACCATAACATTTCAATCGGAACTTTGCCTTTCCTTTTTACGGATCAGAATGTTAACCTACGTGTTCACTTAAATTGTACCGGAGTTCCGCCTTTTGCACATGAAATCCCGTGTCTGAGTTCCGCGACTAGTAAGTCCTGCGTTAATAAAGTGAACTCCGAGCCAGCGAATTTCAGTTGGGATGAGTACTCATGTGATGACGATGCTGTTGTAGCGACGGTGTTGGATGCACTTGGTCCAGAAAGATTTCTGGGGATAGAGTTCATTGAAGCCTTGAGGGGAGGATTCGAGCTAGCATGGGAGAGAATGGGGAATTGCAAAAAGTGTGAAACTTCCTTTGGGCGGTGCGGTTACAATAGCAATACGACGGAGTTCATGTGTTTTTGCTCCGGCGGCACGACTACTTTGGGTCATTGCGAAGGTACGTTTATTAAGACTACTATCTTCAAGTTAAATATCGCATTTACCCCTGTTTTAGCAAATTTACAACTATCGGAAAGTTAAAATAGTGAAAGGGTGGCACATTAGAAGTCGTGGATGACTGGTCACCTTCATAAGTAAAAAAATAATTAAAAAAAAAAAATAGTTGCTTAATAAAATATTTTTTTAAGAAAATTAAATAAATTAACCAATATAAATATTTTTTCGACAAAACTAACTATTTTTTTTTTCTAAATTGAACAACTTAATACTATAACCTAAGATTTCGGAGCACACTTTGAAATGGGGATAGTCATTAGCCCATTTTAAAAGGTCAATCTAAAGTTCACATTAAATGATTTTGATTATCGTTTCTTTTTTTCTGATGGTCGTTTATTTATACTTTTACTAGGTGTCAGACACGTGTATTACACAAGTTGATTTAAAAAAAGATTAAACATTAAAGTGTAAACAAAAAATATTTTTTAATGTACAACTTTAAAATAAAAAAGGAAGAAACGTATTTATTGCAATTTAATATCATATATATGATATTTAATAATTTACATATATAAGTATATGACTTTAATTTTAAAAACTGAAACAAACCAAAAATTGACACGTAGATAATATTTATTTCAAAAATACCACAAAATGATAAATGTTAAAACTCATGATAGATTGACATGTGGCAAAAAAAAAACCTTCATTTATTAAGGAGGATGTTTATTTGGTTATTTTGTGTTTATGTTTTTATTCTAATTTTAATTAATGGTTGGTTTTATTGTCATTTCTAACTATTATAACTTAATTTTTCTTTTTGAAACGGCAAACTAATCCTAACAACGCCTATTTTTCATAGTGAGACTTGAATCTATTACCACTCATTTAAGAGGGTCACTTCTTACCACTAAGCGTAGGGTCATTTGGTTAGATTATAACTTAAATGACAACGTATTTTCCATATGAAACAAAACCTATACTGCAAAAACAAATAACTTTGGAATGTCATGAAACAAAATATACACTACAAAAAATAATAATTATAAAAATTCAGATATGTTCAAATAATAAAAAAAAACATGCAAATAGACACTTACTTTTGACATGTACTCTATGGAATTTTTGCAAATTGCTTTCGGTATGAGTTGGTCCAGGTCTTGGTGCAACCATCTATGCTCACGTGACCGGTGATCAATCTCTCCAAACATCAACATAAGAAAACTTCACAATCCCTTTATCGTCAGACTATTGTGGTTAGTCATCGGCATTCACAAGGGTGAGTATAAAACTCTCGAGGGGGATTACATCGGTTGGTTCGGTACCCCAATAGTTGGTAGCCACTAGGGGTTTGTGGATACGGGATCACATATCTATAAACGAAATAAAGATTTTGAAAATAGCTGGTAGACAAGTAATTATCGTATATAGTGATAGTGATCGTCTGGAAATCCAAAACCCCTAAAAACTAGTGTGTAATCAGTATACTAATGGGGATGTATAGCTGCACAAAAGATCGAAAATAACAAATCATCAAGTAACATTTTGTTATAAGTGACTATTACTTAGGTAAATGCATATATCATCCAAGTCACGCCAATCCTTTACATCGGTGTTGAAAGTTTGAAGAAATGTCCACCGAGCATGATATGTCCTTCGCTCTAGAAGCATCAAAATTGTAACATCCCAAAATTCACGCCCAAAAATTTCATTTTTATTTAAATAACTCATAAAAACATCCATTAGAAAATACTGTGAAAACACGTCATCTCATAAAACAATGTATCATGTCTAAAACCCAAGTCATAAACTAATAACATATCAGAGTACAATCCCAAAAAACTTCTATGCGGAAATCATGTGTGTGTGGGATGCGATGCTACGCCGCCGGCTCCTTCCCCTTAGACGAAGAGGTACCTGAAACCAAAACCGAAACCGTAAGCACAAAGCTTAGTGAGTTCCTCCATCATACCACATACCATACAATATCATCGGTATCTCTCAACCGGTAATCATCATCAGTATCTTTCAACCGGTAACCAACATCGATATCTTTCAACCGGTAATCGTCATCGGTATCTTTCAACCGGTAACCATCATCGGTATCTTTCAACCGGTAACCATCACCGGTATCTTTCAACCAGTAACTGTCATCGGCATCTTTCAACCGGTAACTGGGGACTATTCCACCCCTACCACTAGCATACAACAGCAAGGTACAATCATACAGTCAGACATATCCGGGTACTGACCTACCCCACGGCCCTAAGGGCCGCTGTCAGGGATCCTAATCCCTACTATACACGTAACATATCATGCAGATAATACTCATGACCAAAGCACATAACCAAACCAAGATAATTATCACAAAGACAATCATCTTACAAATACTCCTCTTTGGTGGGGCGGCATTGTGGCCTTAGACCCACCCCTACTGGAAGGTAACTCACCTCAATGTCGTGCAGTGTTTGAATTCTCCTTGGCGCACAAGTCGACTCCCTTCGACTCCTCGATCCCTACACGACGACCTTCAGGTCAACACACAGCAAGTACAACCCTAAACAGGGTCAGTCCAAGTCCAGACAAAGTCAACTTCAAGTTGACCCGACTCGCCGAGTTGGGCCGTCAACTCGCCGAGTCCCTCACCCTTTACTCGTCCTCATCCATGACCCCACTCGTCGAGTTGGGCCGTCAACTCGACGAGTTCTTCTCTCATATGAACATCACATGAAAACTCATCCGACTCGCCGAGTTGATGAACAACTCGTCGAGTTCACCTTCATCTGATGAACAAGTTCTGTCCTCGACTCGCCGAGTTGATGAACAACTCGTCGAGTTCGTCTTCATCCTTAAGAAGATTGCCTTGGACTCGCCGAGTCTGTTCTAGCACTCGCCGAGTCCCATGAACTCCCAGGTCTAAAATCAGTCCAATACATTGGGTAACTCTTTCTGTCCGATTACAACCTTCTAACACTCAACTGGGTTCCTTTGACCCTCAACAGATATGGGGCTCAAAGCCTCGGACTCGTCGAGTCCAAGAACGGACTCGCCGAGTCGGTCACGTCCACACTCTAAATCCTTGATTTCTGGTGTACAACCCTTGATCAAAAGATAGATCCAAGCTTCTACAATCAATCTAGGACGTAAAGTTACAAACTTTACGTGCTTGCATGGGACTTTGAGCTCGAAAAGACATAAAACAAGCTCCTATGATACATGGGACCTTTCATGGGTGCAAAAGCAACCCAAATCTGCCTAGTGACTCCATTAATGATGTGATTCAGAAGCTTAAAAACCCCCAACCATGTTTGCAAACATGGTTGGCCACCAAAAATGGCTTATAAAAGCCCTAAATCTCCCAAAAGAGGGATCTAACAAATGAATGAGTAAGGTCACAGCTTTTTACCTTCAATGAGTTGTAGAAGGTGCACAAACTTGGGTTCCCTTGGTCTCTACTTGCTTCCTCAAGCTTTTCTCCTTCCTTCTTAAGACCACAAGCACCAAAATCCACCAACAAAGCTTAGATTGCTTCAATAACGGCTAGGTTTCAATGAGAGGTGTTTTGGGAGCATAAGGGACGTTGTGACCGCCATAACATTGTTTAAATAGGGTGCAAACCCTCGGATTAGGGTTTTTGTCCAGACAGCGTCTACTCGCCGAGTCCGGGACCCGACTCGTCGAGTCCATCACTTAAATCCGCATCCCGTCCCGCTTCTACTCGGCGAGTTGGTCCTTCAACTCGCCGAGTCCAAGGCCAAAAATGCAAAATACTTAGGAAGAAATACGTACCAAGAATGAGGTGCTACAAATCTCCCCCACTTATTTTAGACTTCGTCTCCTCGAAGTCTGCTGCTCGATCCTGAAACAGCTCTGGGTATGCTCCCCATCATCTCGTCCACCGGCTCCCAAGTCCATTCCGAGCCCTCGGTGCTGCCATTGCACCTTCACGAGTTCCACTCTCTTGTTCCTCAGATCCTTCGACTTCCGGTCGAGGATCGCCACAGGTTGCTCAATGTAATTCAGGCTGTCATCGACCTGAATATCCTCTAAGGGTACTACTGCTGAGTCGTCCACCAGGCACTTCCGCAGCTGAGAGACGTGGAAAGTGTTGTGGATCTGACTGAGTTCGGCTGGCAGATCCAACCTATAGCCACTTGCCCACCCGGGCTATAACCCTGAAGGGTCCAATATACCTGGGACCCAACTTGCCCCGCTTCTGAATCGGATGACGCCCTTCCATGGCGACACCTTCAGGAGAAACATATCCCCGACCTGAAACTCTAGGTCCGATCGGCGCTTGTTGGCATAACTTTTCTGCCGACTCTGAGCGGTCTGAAGCCTGCTCCTGACCTGTTGGATCCGTTCGGTCGTCTTGAGCACTACATCAGTGCTCCCCATAACCCTCTGGCCAACCTCGCCCCAGCATATCGGGGTCCTGCACTTCCTCCCGTACAACACCTCGAAGGGAGGTCGATCGATACTCCGCATGATAGCTATTATTATCGAGAACTCCACCAACGGAAGGTAGGTATCCCAGCTACCTCCGAAGTCTAAAACACATGCCCGCAGCATATCCTCTAGCGTCTGGATGGTCCGCTCGCTCTGACCATCCGTCTGCGGGTGAAAAGCGGTGCTGAAATGCAAACGAGTACCCAGCTCGTCATGAAACTTCTTCCAAAACCTGGAAGTGAACCGTACATCCCTATCGGAAAATCACTGAAACTGGCACCCCGTGCCGCGACACCACCTCCCTGATATAGTTGTCGGCCAACTTCTCGGCCGAGATACTCTCCGGAATCGGAATAAAATGAGCGCTCTTGGTCAATCGATCGAAGATGACCCAAATCGAATCCACCCCTGCGCGGTCCTGGGAAGCTTTGTGATAAAATCCATCGTAATATCCTCCCATTTCCCACAGCGGGATATCCAACGGCTGCATCTTGCCGTGTGGCCTCTGGTGCTCGGCCTTGACCTTCCTACAGGTCAAGCACCGCTCCACGTACCATGCTACGTCCCGCTTCATGCAGGGCCACCAATAATCGGGACGAAGATCTCTATACATCTTCGTCGCTCCCGGGATGGAT